TTCAAAATTTTGAAGAGCTACTTAAGCAGATAAGGTTAATATTTTAAATCTCTTTTATGGGTTTTTTGACTTATCTTAAAAAATATTCGTATAAAAAAATGTACACCGAATGCAGGTAATTCCTTTTTTGTATTAGGCTGCTTAGGTGCAAGTTTAGGTAAAATTTAAAAAAAAAATTTTAAACACAAGTGCCGGTAGTGGATATTTATAACCTATTCACGTTAGCTTAAAAATAAATAAATTAAAAAGTTTTTGCATTTCTCTTTCACAAGCAAGAATTCAACCTTTTCTAAACTTGATTCACTATTATGTCTTTCATGATTGATATTTCTCAGTTTTTAAACCCCAATGTCAAAATTAACTGATTTATTAGCTAAATTCTAATTACATTTTAGTATGCTTATAGACAAATGCTGGAACCATCATGCTTGTTCTGTGTAGATTATATTTTTATTTTCACAAGGTTAAAAATATATCCAGAATTAAGGGTTTCTAGTGTGTTTGTGAGCAATGATAAACAACATAAAATAGTAATATCTGCTAACTTAAATTCTTCAGAACTATCACTGTATAGAAGTTTAACCCTATGTACATGGGTGGGAACCAAATAGAACATATCACAATCTATTATGGAGTTACATTGAAAAGTTAATTAAATAACTTTATTATTAATATTTGTCAATAAATTTGTATCATATCATACAGTGGTGGAAAAATTTATTGCATTACCAAATTTTTTTACATTTTTCTTCAGTTATGTCTGTTTTGATGTCCTCATGAATGTAGGTGCAAATGTGTTTCATGAATGATGCAATACTTTCTAATTATTACATCAGTAGCTTTATAGGCTGTTTGGGTTTTGCATCACCCATTGTTTAGCTATAAACACAGGTTCTTATTAAGAGTCAGTTTAGAAGCCCACCTACCTACTAAAACGTGAGTATGGTACTACAATGGCCAAGAGTTTCAAGTTAACTCCATGGAAAAAAGAACTCATTGTTTCTTTGAGCAAGGAGGGACATTTGACAAAGCAGGTTGTTAGAAGAATTAAATTTAGTCCATAAAGAAGTACTAAATTTGTTGTGTTTCTATTTTTTTATTTGTTGTTATAAAAATAACTAAAATGTAAAAATTACAAACTTATTAGGTTAGATAAGAAAACTTGTATAAAAAAAATTAAATGAAAATATTGCTCTGTGGGATATGCACATGAGCTACTGTAGTGTTAGAAAATTCTGAAAAAAAAGAGAAATCAAAGTGAAGTGTGCTAAGTGACATTGAAAAGAAATTTTTATTACATCAGTTTGACCCACTTTGGAAGTGTGAAACTACACATAATTCTTAATTTACTAAATGTACTTTTATGAAATTTGGCAAGCTTTTAGTAAACATTATGAATCTGTTGTATATAAAAATAGTAGACTTTTTAATAAAAAACTGCTACTATAGATCTGTCTGTGAAATTATTCAGCTTTTACCGAGTCATCAGAGATGATTTTCATCTTGAGAATAAAAATACCTTCATCTTTCCCATTTTATTTGTATAACATCCTAAATGAGTATGAAAAGTCTGTTCTTTTTTTTGGGTAGAATTTTACATTTTTTTTATTTTCTCTACTCTAACACCAACTGTAGTGAATTTGGCAATGTACAGTGAAATGAAAAATTATAAATAAATACCTTTTTATTTCTTCTTTGAATGCACCTTTTGTCACCAGATCTTTAATTTAATTATCTTAACAATATCAATGTTAAACTTTACACACCTGTTTTCTTTTAATTTTATTGTCAGACATTCTTTTATGAAAGCTATTACTCCCTGGAAAGCAATAACTCACAGTGAGAGCTCATATCTGTCTCTCCTCCACAGATAAAGTTAATACACTAATCAAGTTACACACAGTTTGAACTCACAAGCTCAAGTTCCTATGCTCATGACATTTTAAGTTATTCTATTTTTGTTTAAAAATATACATAAAAAAACTAAATTTAGCACTTACATCATAGTTGAGGTCCTTTTTTTTTTTTTGCACTTGCATTCTGTGGTCCAAAATCCCTATTTTTTCCCATTAAGTAGCTTTCAAATATATACTTTAGAACACAAACAGCACATCAGGCACTAAAATAGGATGTTCATCTACTTTCATTTATCTGACTATCTAACTAAGCTATAAATAGGTTCAAACAATTCCATTACTGCTAGGAGCAATGACTTTACTCAACATGCATAACCGTTTCTTGCAAACTACCGTTTTCAGACTCCTACATGTTACAATATGCTCTCTCTATTGGTTATAAACCTGTCCAACAGATAGATAAACATAAATAATTTGAAGTGCATGAAAAGAAAGGAGAAACTTCTCTAGTGGGTTTTACAAATTTGATGTCTTAGCAAGTTGAGAAAGTAGGAGGTTCAAGTATTATATTGTATCTTGTCTTTACGTGTAGTTTTTATTTCTATATGGTTGTAAGCTTCAGTTTGTAGTGTTAGAAAATTCTGAAAAAGAGAAATCAAAGTGAAGTGTGCTAAGTGACATTGAATAGAAATTTTAATTACATCATGCACATTTTGACCCTGTCACGCGCATAGGGTTAGTACTATGAAACTCATTTATAAAAATATTTGTGATTGCTCAGACAAAAACTTTTTGTAAAATAAATTTGTATAAAGCAAGGGAATTTGATCAAAGTAATATGTATTTGTCACTGAAGATACAAAGCAAGTAAATTACACATTCAAGGTATAAAAGAGATATTGTCAAATCCTGCTTCTTCAAAAAAAAAAATCTGATAGTACTGGAAACAGCAATATACAGTAAGAGTAACAAAACTCCCATATATGAATGTTACTTTGCTAAATGAAACAAAGTTTCTTCAAAAATTACTTATCTGATGGTTGATTAATTAAAATATTCAACATATTTTGTCACTTACTTTTGGCTGAAAATTTATTTTCTTTCCTCTTCTTCCCTTTGGCTTTCAAGCAGTTATCACAGGTAAAGCTTTAAAAAAAAATATTTTGTTGTTAAATCTAAAAAATGTCATGAATAGATGAACAAGTGCAAGTGTAGAAAAAATCCATTAGCTACTTTAGCTCTGAATACAAAAGTTAAAACGTAACAACTGTCTGCTTGTCTACTTTTACAAAAACTCCAAAAGTACTATGCCTGTAAAATAAAAATGAGGAATACTCATCTAGTATATATTTGTTTACATAGCTTAAAACAATAATGACTAAACATATATACTTTGTGTACTTTTACAGTACACACAATACAGCAGGTTCAAACACCCACCACATAGCTAAGTTTTAACTAATTCTACTGCAAATAAGAAACTCCAAGTACATGCCAGTGAAGAATATCGCTACAGGATCTGTTTTGTGAACCAAAACTAAGATGTATCTGTTCATGCTTTCGCTAACTCATGGTGCATGTACAAATGCTGCACTACTGTAATGTTCTAAACAGTACATAAATTTATTAATTATAGAAGGCTAAAGAGTACAGTTTATAAAATGCAGTTATTCATAGTGGATGTAACAAATCTGAAACAAATTATCATCACATCAATGTAATGCAAATAAATTGTTGCTCTTTAAACCAAACAAGCGTAAGCAGCTGGTTCAATTGCCAACAACTCTAGCTCTCCATTCTATCAATATTCAGATATTATTATGGAACTCAATGGGCTGTGTTCACTGAGTGTCTCAATGACCTTTAAATCTACAAGACTTTGAAGTTAGTGCTATAGAAATCAGCAGTTTCTGGTTGTTAATAAAAAGATCTGTACTGGTATCATCAATAAAGTGTAAAAATAAAAATTCATTCACTGTTTTCAACATGTGGCACAATGTATTAAAAGAATGGAAGCAACTACAGGGAATGATTATGCTGGTAAGGAATTTTACTCAATCATGTGAGAAATTTCAAAGTCATAATAATTAGTAGTGTTACTACTCATTTGACTAATTTTAAAATAATCTTGAAGTAGTCCATTTGGTTGCAAAACTGAGTGGCTTAGCTGCTCTGATGTGTAGTTTAAGGATGTTTCTCTCTTTCAGTATTTTAGAAAAGGCCTGTAAGCTTTTGTGTTTTAGTCACTATGGCTGAATGGCACTGTCAAATAAGAAATTGATGCTGGTCTCTATCTATCACAACTAATATTCCTTCTAAGCTATGTGCATGCATGGCAGTGCAGCAAAATTGCATGATCAGCAAATGAAAAGATATGCTGCTCAAAACTTCCTATCAAGTCACAGCTTGTGCTTTTCTATGTCAGATGTTGTTTAAATTGTTAATTGCTTTACTTGGTTATTTTCTGTAAATGTCTTTAGCTTAGAATACACTGATTTCTGGAGAATTTTAAAATGCTTACTGTTCTTCTCTTTCAAAACCTAAGTTCAAAATACCAATAAAAACTAAGTATGAAAATATTAATACTAAAAAGAATATTTTTTTGAATGTGAAATAAACAGAAAATTCCACCAAAAATAGCAGCCTGTGAGAACAAGAATATCTGTCTCTCAAAAACATTTTATTTTTTCAACTGAAATTGGAAAGTAATATGAAAAATTTTATACTATTATAGTGGAATACAAGTTAATACAATATATGGTTTTCCTACGAAAAACAAAATTAAAAACATTATGGAATCAAAAACTGTTAAAATGACCTTAAAGAAACAAAAAGTTACCTATTTAAATACCAAAAAACTCAAACAGGCATTTAATGAAAAAACTGTCATTGAAAAATATATGTAAAGTAGGTATTTATTTTTCCTAAATACAAGTGGATTAGAAACATAAAAATTCTTCCTTAGAATAACAGTTGAAATTTATTAACAGCCCCAGTCACAAAAAACCGACCCCCCTCTAAGTGCCAAATTTTGAAATATTATGTCCCAGAAAGTGCTGATTGATAGAAATAAACTACTTGACTCTACTATTCAGAATCTTTTTCAGATTTGAAATCCATGACATATGAAAAAGATACAGCTGTATGTAAATTTTGCTGTTCACGAGGGCTAAGTTAATCTGTTTGTATATTTAAATCAGTAAGTGAGGCAAAAGATACAGCAAATTCTTTCTGCAAACATGAAGGTTCAGCTTCACACACTATGTCTTTGGGAATTGTACTATCACTATAAATCAATACCCTCATTTTAGCTGGAGTTAAAGAAAAGAATGCCTTTATCTTGGAAACAGTGACATGAAATCTATCTTGCCAATTTCCTAGAGGGACTGAATTCATCAGAATCTGATGAGCTTTTTATCGACATTTTCCAACTTTTGTTTCTTTTTCTCATTTCATATAACTCAATTAACTTTTCCACACACTCCTTGGGCATTTCATCTTTCGTATTCCCTGGAGAGCATGCCCGCCCTTCTGACGATGCTTCTGGACAAAGTGTAATAGTTACACCTCCTACATTGCTTATATCCACTTCAGGATGATTACAGTAGACCACAGACAGTGCTTGGTTAATAGCTAGTGATTCAGCAGTAATCCTGACTTGATCTTGTTCATTCAACTCAGAATTTGCACATCGATCAGGTGTCATAATGGTGCCTTGGGGGATGTTAATGACAACCTTGTTTCAATATTCAGTTCATTTGCTCCACATGCAATAAGCTTGGATGCTACAACAACTTCTGCCTTGTATATATTGGATGAGCAAATGATTTTAGCAGCATTAACCTCCCACTGAACCTCGTGTGCTTCGACTTCCGGTTTTTGCCTTGAACTTTTCCACTAACGTTGGACCATTCAACATACTGGCATGAAGTGCTTTTATGGTAGTTTCATGCAATTCCATCTCTAAATGTTAAGGCCTTGTATATGTCCACTTCTGTAGTTATGTCGTTTCCAGTCTTCCTCTACTAGTTTGAGCCTCACAGTATAAATCCACTTCTCGACATGGAGAATGTGCCCATCAGTGGAAGACTGCATTCCAACAATGAGATGGTATACATATATATATATAGGATCAGATCCTGTAAGGCAAAACACGTAGCATTGTCACTTTGAAGAATCACTCTAGCCATATCAAGAGAATTTGTTTGAACATCCTGTCGCATCTCTTTCAGTACAGCCACAACTTGTACATTGTCTTGTCCTGTGTATCCTTCCACCACATAATCAACAAATTTGTACTGAAATTCAGGAACACTTTCATTGTCATATACCCATCTGACCATCATTGAACCAAACAATGACATACCATTTTTTACCAAAGTACTCCACTTGACTTTCTCTGTACTTCATGGGTAACACCTTCTGCTTATGATGAAGCACAATAAGCATCAATGATGAATTAATCTTCATTTCTTTTTTAAATGTGTTGATTGCATCAAATTGGACTTTAGCTCTAAGCCTATGGGCCATGTACCATAATGACGTATTTGGTTGAATCTGGATGGATGCTAACATTGATTCTATTTCCTTTGTTGTATCAAGATCATCTACTAGTAATGAGGTAGCCTGCACCACAATTGGCCTAACCAAAGTGTCTAAGAAATTGACGCATTTGTTACACTTAACGCAATAGCTGTGGTTGTGAACATGATCGCATCTTCCAACTAGTGCAAACGTATAGCAGTGAGTCTGATCGTCAGACATTAAACTCAAATGCTTGTGTGTGTGTGTGTACTCATATGTCAGAAATAACATTATTTCTTTCCATCTCTGTAAGATTTTCTCGACACTTGCTTGAATGTCATTTGTCGCAATTACTTTGGAATACTCCACGTTGCTTAATCTTGCCATCATGGACTGGAATGGTGAACTGACATATTTTAATCAAATACAGTAGGTTAACAAGCCAGCTTTCATTTCACCTCTTTTTGTCAGCAGCTTCACAATATCATGAAATGTATGCACCCCTACCTTTTCACAGCTATCAAAGTACTTCTTATACGCTTTGTGAAGGTCTTCGAGACTCCATCTTCATAAACTGGCATATCTGAAAATATGCAATTGTCAGTCCTTACATTCCTTGTTTGACCAGACTTTACTTGAAGGCTTCATTAAGTGAACGTAATTGCTGTTGCAATCCTCTAGCTGTCCACATAGAAAGTACAATTGTGTTTTGGCAGTTCTGTTCCACACTCCAAAGTAGCAAACGTCTTTGTCAAGGATGGAAAACTTCACTTTTCCCATTAAGTGATTTTGAACTGGTATAAGCTGTTTTTGTTGGTCTGGTAAGAAACTGAATTTGTTGGCAAGCATCCTTTTGCCAGTTCTGTTCCACACTCCAAAGTAGCAAACGTCTTTGTCAAGGATGGAAAACTTCACTTTTCCCATTAAGTGATTTTGAACTGGTATAAGCTGTTTTTGTTGGTCTGGTAAGAAACTGAATTTGTTGGCAAGCATCCTTTTGCATGTATGTCGTTTAGGTGAATTTTTGAAAATGCTTTGAGCAACCACGGAAATGTTTATGCACCCAACAAGTGATAGTTTGCACGAGCTTTTGGAAATGGGTTCCATCATATCTTTCTCATTAGACTGTAGTTTGTTGATATAATATGTCTTCAATTCAAATGGATCGCTCGGATACAAAAATTGGAATAACTTATCAGTTATTTGATATCAGTTATGTGCACATTCGAACAGCCCTCTGTCTTTGTCTGACACTTTGCAATGCATTAGCTTTATATTCACCTATAGGTAAACATTCCAAATCTGTGCGATTGGTAATATCCAATGCACTGAATATAGCAGTAATGGTTTTAGAGGCTTTAGCAGTTCCATCTTCTCCAGAATCAATATCATACACCTTGCTTTCTTCTAATCTAATTCAATTTTGACCTCTTATGGCACTTGTCCTTCTCATTACACTTCTTTCTCCACTTTCATCATAATTTCTTCACTTCCAATTAATATGATTTGCTTTATTCATGCATGAATCCAAAGGTAAGCAGCATCCACAAAAGCCACAGGCGAAGCAGCCTCCTTTCTTTCTATTTTTATGTTCCTGGTAAGGCATTTTACAGATTTCACTTATATTTTTTCAATCAGAAGAACAAGCTTTTTTAGATTGTATTATTGGATTACAGTTGCATAGTCTGGCGCCTACAATCCGTTTTTTGGGTCTGCGTTTTTTCCTAAATTTGGGTCAGTTTTTCGTGAATGGGAGGTCTTAAAAACCTTTATCACTGGATGTAATGCATATTGAATATTTACTTACCCCTCAGGCCAAATATTTTCTAAATGCAATACGCAAATCTGATGAAGTTTTCTTCCACACTCAATACATTCAACAAATCTATAAAAAAAAAATACGAACACTTATTTCTTATACACAAGGATATATTAAACAAAAATCACATATTTTCCTGGATATGTACTTATCAACCTTTCACATTTTAAGACTGTTATTTTCTGCATGTAGTTTATAAATAAAGATTAAGTCTTTTGTTTATTTCAATAGCATAACCATAGTTCTGTAGCTTTACTTAATCATAATTTTAAAAGAAAATGTTTGGGCTACTTTGACAAGTAACTTAACATCAAAATACTTTTATAATTTAAGAGCTTAGATATGCCAAGTATAAAATTTGAATCTCAAAAACTACCTGTAAATGGTCCTTGATTTTCCTTTTTTTTGTTTTTAAAGACTAACTGAAACAAACTTTTTAAGTTTTATTGAACAAAATCATTTTAGTAAACATAAACCATCATTTAAATAATATTCATGAAAGTTTTGAGCATAAGCTCACATAAGGACTGCTAAAAATAATGGGCTTAGAAAATATTAACTTATTTCAGTGGTATTTCCTATACATGAAACAGGTTAATAAGCTTAATAAAACTAAACCTTTCAATGACATTTTAATATAATAATTTACATTTATATTGGTAGAAACCAACACACTTCTTTTAAATCATTTATATTATTCATTAATGTTATACTTTTTATATCATTAGAGATAACTGATAATTCAACTCATCCTTTTAATTTACCAAGTACAGTACTTGCATACAAAACAAAATGCATAGAGTATATCTTCTTAACATATTGGAATTATTAAAATACATCCAAAATTAACTTAAAATAACATTTATTCCAGAAATTTACTAAAGAACATCTAAAACAGACAATGACTCACGGCTCTAATTCCAGATGGTCATTCTTCATTTCAACAAACTGATCTTTTCTTATCATTCTGAAAAATTGTTTGCAAAAATTAATGCAGTATGTTTTTAGTTCTTTGTGCACACCAAGAAATGTTTCAATATTTATATACTGTTCTTTTGTGATTAAATATTGTAAAAACTTACAACTGCTAAATAAATGCCATCTATAAATCACTGATATGCTGTGTGAGTGTAACTCATTTAACTTTAAAATATAGTTAAAAGAGTAAAAGTTTACTTACATAATTGAACCATCATTCAATAAGCATAAAAAATACCAAAGTTTAGTGCATTGGTCAATATCAAACAAGTGAGAGAAACATCTTCTCTACTGTTTCCTCAAAGTTATTCCCTTTAACCAACACATATTTAAACAGCTTAAAAGTTATTATTCAATTTGAAAAATACTTGAGTTTTGACTAATTTAGATGAAATTATGAAAAACAAGTTTGAAAAATCAGGTCAGCCTTTGTGAGTTTTAAAAAGATTTTATGATTAATTCAACTCTAGGTATATAAACTTGTTTATACCTTGTTTATTAATTACTGACAAATGTGCTTGTAAAAAAGCCATGCCACATTGCAAACTATCTGAATGTGATAAATGCAACTTAAAAAAATAATAAAAACTAAAAAAGTACAGAATAGGGAAGAAACAAAGAAATTTCCTTAGAATTAGCACATAATAATGATGATATAAAGATTCTCTTTACTTTCATTCAGAAGTTCTTATAATTACTAATGTAATTTTCTCTTGTTGACACTGTGGCTACTTGACTCACTCTGGGATAAACAAAGACAAGCTTACTGGTTTACCAGTTATTTTGAATAGCACGTAAAAAGTTAAAAAAAAAATAATAATAATATTACTAATGATAACATTCCGATGTGGAAATAAATAAATAATTTGATTTTATCAAAAATCATAAACCTAATTCTGATATGTAATGAATGACTTAAGTAAAATTACAATTCACCAACTTAATCTACTTCACACCACACCGGCAAAAGGCCTCATTGGCACTGATTACAACAAGTATAGTGTGTTTGGCATATTATTGCATTCTTTTTTACTTTTACTAGAGATTTCATTAATTAACAACAAGAAAAAAAAAAGAGAACGAATCATAATGACTTTCTTTTAATACATTGTAGGAATTTTAGATAAGCAACTAGTAAACACTACTTCATAAAAGGTTTAAAATGCAATTCTTATTTCTTTTTCTTCTTCTTACTTTCCTTGATAAGAATAAAGTACTTTTTAACTTGCACATCATGAACCAGGTGTACTCTTTTCTGGTGACGAGATATTTTTAACCCATTGCAGCTTTTGTCCAATTTTTTTGAAATTTTACAAGCTGGGACCTCACACTAAAAGGCATTGATTTACGCAATCTCTTTTGTCATACACATCTTTTCAAGATATTTTTTGATGTGTACATTTTTTACACTGAATTGTATAATTTACAAACTAAATTTGCGTCGATTGACATAATTTATGTCAATCTTTCTGGGTGCTTGACATTTAAGGTGTAAGGCACTTGCTGTACACCTTTAATTGATCACAGGATGAATGATCCAAAGATATCACATAAATGTAAATGGCACAGAGGCAAAGTTTGTTTAACTTGTACTCATTGTGGTTGTTCCTGTGACGGATTGTCTCCAAAACCAAGTGGGAAGCGACCAGCGAACCCTTTACAATTGAGAAAACATAAAGAAAACTTCGTTAGCTACATGGAGCCAAATGATGACTTGCTTGATGTGATTCTGGAAGTGGAGAATCTGACTGAAGTTGCCCAAGTTAGAAAAAAAAAAGTTCCAAAACAGAACTCATGGTAAGTCCAAAAATGGTAACATGACCATTCATGACATTCAAAACTTCTCTGGTTTAAGTGCAAGTATGACAAACAACCTTGAAAGTAAAGAGCTACGAAAAAATGCTATATCTTTTCAGTCGCTACACTCAAATTGAGCCACTCATGCCTTTGAGGATGTAATTTTGAAAGTTTGTTATACAACTTTGCCTCAAGATCCAGAGGAATAGATGAGAGATGTAGCACTAAGAATTCTTAATTGTGAAAAACCTTATTGCACAAAGGACATAATAAAGATGCAAGTGGCCCCACCAGAATGGTGTTTACAGAAAAAAGTCCTTCTTGCAGCTATCTCTACTGGCTTAAAGTTGAAGTAGATACAGGAATTGATTTCTTCCTTTGGCAAGAAAAACTATAAATCAGCTAAAAGGAACTGTCATGCATCAATGAGGGGAACAGAGATTAAATCACCTATCCATCAGGTTCAGTGATACAACTTATCAACTCTTCAAAAGGCTTTGAATTTATCCTTTCACATCAAAATATCAAAACTTTATCATGGGGAATGTATAAGATTACAATTAATGGAAAGGATCAGTGTTTACCACAATTTTGTCATATGAGTATAAAGGAGTATATATACATAGGGATTATCTAGACTATGCCTGATAAAATTTCATTTGGGTCATTTGCAAAATTAGTCAGTTGTTTTACATAATTTGACCAAAAGGCTAGAAAGGCCATGGATTATACTTCTAGGATTCTTCTCTATGATAATATGGAGCTTTTCCAGTGAATAGTTGATACCATTCATGATCAAAATGTGAAAGAAATTGCAATAAAATCTCTGGAAGTGATCGAGCACTTTCTGAAATAGGAGTTTCACCAGCATACTGGCATAGACAATTCCACAAGTCATGATACTGATTACGGTTTGAGTAGCAATTCATATGGCAATTCTCCTGAATATTGCGATTGTTGTCAAATCCCATTCAAATGTGTCCCATTTGTGAAAAAGAAATTGAGTTTTGATCACCATTCCCTTGTATATGATAACATACTGAAGTTCAAGTTGTACACGAGTCATCAAGTGAGAGTAAAAATCAAGCAGGTTCGTATCATTCGAATACACGAAACCCTTCAAGAAGATGAGGTTTTAGTAGTTTTGGACTAAAAGATGAAATATGAGCCACTATACTTTCAAGAGAAGACATTTGAATACTATGGAAAGAAAGGTATATCACGGCATGGAACAATGGTATACAGTAGAAGTGAACGAAGACATACGAATAATGGAGATGATGTTCCTGGATATTCGATGAACTATAAAGATCACATACCATCTGGGTATTCAAAGCAGGACTTGTTTGCAGGTCTTTCAATATATGAGGGTATTATGATGCAGATGAAACATGACTTACCTCATATTACAAAAATTTACATTCAGCCAGACAATGCAAAATTATTACCAGAATGGAATACTTTTATTAGGTATGCTTTTAATTCATGCAAAGCATAATGTTCAATTGAAACCTTTTGTGCACACTGAGACCCAGGATGGCAAAGTATGCATCAATGATCATTTTTCAGTTGCAATGAATGCAGTTATAGTTTTTGTGAAGATGGGATAAAATGTAATTTCCTCAAAGGAACTATTTCATGCATTGCAGCATGATGGTGGTTTGAAAAGCACTAGAGTCTTCCCTTTTACGTTGCAGCATGATGCTGTTGATGCCCTAACAAGTTCATATAAAGATGCATTTTACTCTTTTTAGCCATCTGAAACATTTTAATGAAGCAAAACTTGTTGACAAAGAGCTTCTTTTTCTTCGAATATTCAGGTCGTGACTACATCAAGATTGATATAAGAGACTTGCAACATCCATTTATGATTGTAGAACAGAGCAGTATTAATGGAAACATTCCTGGTCTTCTTGGAGCTGTTGAAAATGTGGAAAGAGGTAAAAATTATTCAGACATTGAAGAAAATGCAGAAGGAGGAGATGTTGTTGTACAAGATGAAAATGAAGAGACAGTGGTTGGCAAGGTGTATGAGGATGAATTTACTTCAAATCATGAAGATGAAGTTCGCTTTTGTGGATCACTGACTTCCTGTAGCTTTGTTCATACACCAAATTCAACAAGATTTGAATACCACCAGCGTGGAAACAGTGATAAATGGAAAGCATATAATGTAGAAAATGGAATAGATGCTCTCCCCACTTTTCAAAATGATGATGTAGAGGATGAAACCATCTGCCAAGTATGTTAATGGTGCTTTCTTTCAGTAAAAACAAAGGAAATATGTAAATGCAAAGGTGCTATGAATAGCAAAGATATGATAACAATTGGCCTTGAGTATGTAGTAGAGTTAGTTGATATTGGTCATGTTGATTTTATTGATATGAAGTATGATCCTTCAAGTAATCAGGAGTTTAGGAGCTTCTCTACAATCAGTTGTGTTTACTGCACTAAATGAGGATAATATGGATGATTTTGTGCCTGAAAAGTTTAATGCTGGTTTTATACAATGCCGAAGGCATGGAGAAGTGTATGGGAAAAAAAATTGAATCTTTCAAGACAAAAATTGAGGCTATGTTTGTGGAAGGTGTTGAGGATAAAAGAAACAAAGTAGGGCCTGGGCGAATGCTTGAGATACTTTTTGCTGAGTTTCCAGAAAGACTTGACCTTCCATCTGAAACAGAAGTGCAGCAGTATTTCACTACTTTGACTGCAAAGTTCCAAAAAGCATGGCACTCTTAGTATTGTCTCAAGAGGCATTCAGAATTCATTTGCAGCTATGATCAAGCATCTTCTACATGAGGCCAATTCCAGGTAGCAAGATTCAAGGAAGTACATACTCAAGATAGCAACCACGTGAATTACCCAAATGATAAAAAGGTAAAACAACTTATATCACAATTGAAATAAAAACTAAAGAAGGCCATGAATACAACAAAAGTTTAACTTTATAAGCTTTATTGCATTAGAATTCATATTGGTAACATTTAGTTTCATTCATATTGTTTAACTGGATTTAAGTACTGTAATGTATGGAAAATGTTGACAGCCATATTTTCTCACAAATTCATCCAATTTCAAATAAACAAAAAAAAAAAGATTCTGACTTGTCATTTTCTATTCTATCAATTACAGTACTCTTTATTTCTTTCTGCAATGCTTTTTTTTTTACAGTCACCAAAACACCTCAAA